AAAGTGTTAAATTTGGTAGGAGCTTGGAACTATGTTCTATGCAGAAAAATTAAAGAGCATACTTAAAGTGTTCAGTGAATGCTAACCAGTACAAAAGAGCTCCTGTAAAATTTTAGGTGTAAGACTATATAGGCCATTTTCTATGATTCAGTAAAAATATGAAAACAGGAAGCCAGATACCCGAGCAAACTTTTACAAATTGTAAATGTCAACAGTCAACTGCACACCCAATTTTTAAGATAGTCATCTTGGAATGATGCCATCGGTATTTTCAGTAAAATTTTTTGAAAGAATATTGTTTTTATAATAGGAAAAACTGTTTAGAAAAGATGGCAGGCTATAAAGTCGTCACATAATATTAAATAATTATCCGACCATCATAACAAAATGATTTATAATATGCCGACAGATCTCACTTTAATTAATGATCATTACTTCAAGGAAGCCCTTAGTGGTTCCTGCACTGTACTGTACATGTCTGTAATCATTCAATCTCCCCTTCTCCTGGACAACTATACTATTCTCCATTCTCCTTGCCGCTGGATACCTTACCCCTATTTCGCTGAGAAAACAGAAGCAAATTAAGAGAATATTCACAAGCTCCCACAGTATCTACTCTTTCCTCTATGTGTCCCTACATTCTCTTCCTTCCTGTTACTCTGAATGAACAGCCTAATTTCTTTTCTAAGGCCTACCTTTCCTTCTGTGTACTGTTCAAAGAAACTGGCCTAGCAGTTTTTCTCATATTTCTCCTAATGTATGTTTCCCTTTACACTGGAATAGTCTCATAACCATGCAGCAAACTTCCTATAATTTCTCCCATCTTAAAAAAAATAACAGAAAACCCTTTTTTTCACCGCATTCTTTTTCAGCCACCACTCCATTTCTCTGGACCCACAACACAATATATCCTCCAGAGTACTGTCTCAAATCCCTCTTTTCTCATTTGTTCCTGATTCCATTCCTATCTGTCTTTTACTCCTTCATCCATTATGATTGTCTAGTCAAGTCCCCAGTAATATCATTGCTGATCTAATGGTTAATTCTCAACCCACATCTCCCTTGACCTATTAGCAATTTTTCATTCTCTCTTCCTTGAAATAGTTTCATTTGCTTTTAAGGATGCCTCATTTTCCAAATTTTCCTCCTACCTCCTGGGCCATCTTTCTCAGTCCTTTTTGCTGATACCTACTCACCTCCTAATCTCTAAAGGTTAGAGTGTCCTTGGCCCAATCTTTGAACCTGTTGTCTATTTGATTCCTTTGCCAATCTCATCCGGTCCAGTCTCTATAAGCCATTTCCACATGAAGACTTTAAAATTTGTAACTAGGCTAGACCATTCTCCACCAAACTCCAGAGGGCACACACTGGATAACTGCTTATTCTATATTGCTAAATGATCAAACAATAGGCGTATCAAATTTTATGTCCTAAACTAACTGCCTGATCTTCCTCCATAACCCCTACTCCAAAACCTGTTCGTCCTACTGTCTTATCCATCTCAATACATCATAAATCTCTTTCTTTAATCAGGCCAAAAAACTTTGAAGACATCCTTTTTGTTCCTCTCACACCCCCACAACCAATTTGTTAGCAAACCCTTTGGCTCTAATTTCAAAACATACCCAAAACTGAATCCTGTTCTATTACTCTGCTCTAATTCACCATGATCTCTCGGCTGAATTGCTTTAAGTCTTAAACTATTTCCACCCATGCCCTCACTACAATCTGTTCTCAAAACGGCAACCAGTTTAACTCTTTTAAAAACTAAAGTCATAGTATTCCTCTGCTCAAACTCTCACAGCCCGCTCAGAGAAAAATCCAAAGTACCTACAATGTTTTATGGGGCATACATACACAAGCTGGCCTCCATTACCTCTCTGACTTCCTTCCTTCTCTTCCTCTTGATCGCTAACTCAACACTACTGGCCTCTTTGTCTCGAATACTAGAAATATTTTAGACCCAAGCCCCTTGCACTTGCATTTCCTGGAATAATCTTGCTCTAGACATTTGCATGGCTCACTCATGCACCCTCCTTTCAGCTCTTTTCCTCAAATTCCGCTTTCTCAGTGAGGCTATTCTTGACTCCCTTGTTGTAAATCATACCCACCATACCTTCTTCCTATACCCAATTGGTCATTCTTTCTCTTCTTAATCTGTTTATTGTTTCTATAGCATTTATCACCTTTTAATATACTATGTCATTTAGTTAGGGGTACATGGTCTATCTCTCCTCCACTTGGATGTATGTACCATAAAGGCCAAAATGTTTATTGTGTTTATTATATCCTCAATGCTTAGTACCTACATGTGGTAGGTGCTCAATACCATGTATTTGTCAACTGAATTAACACAAAGATATTCCTATCTGTTGAAATAAAGGACATTTGACATAAGACTTACTGGTTTTGTTTTATACCAAAAAGAAATGTTTAAAAACTGTTTCGAAATCAGATCACTTAGTAAATAGCTTAAAGAGAAAAAATGAACCAAAGTAACCATCTCTCAAAGTAAAGACCTGTAAGTATACACTCCTCTATTACTTACATTTCTGCAATAACGGATTAAACTATAACATTAATATCTACAATTGGAAAACGTGATTTTTACCTTTGTTGTTAGATCTTGTTCTGCAGGAAGTGTCTCTCGTAAGGCACGCAAACCATGCTTAACCAGTTCGTTCAAATTGCCTATGTGTAATAAATAAGTTAACAATTACTTCCTAATTTCACCTTCAAGCTAGGCTTCTTTTATTTTTGTTCGGTCTATAGTCTGAAATCATGATTTTAGTCACATACTAAATAAACCACAATAAAAAGAGACAAAAGTTTAATATTTTGCCCTATAATCTTCTAGTAATTATCAATAACATTGACTATTATTTTACTTAAATGAGGTCACATGATTTTTGTTACTAAATTTTACCTTATACTAAGTTAAATCAAAATTCTGATTCACAAATGATACAGCTCAAAGTTTTGTAGAATGTATTCTGTAGAATGCTAGTTGTTGTATTTGCTCTTTATAAAAGGAATCTCCAATTCTATGTGGCCAGTATTAGCCTGATACCAACACTAAACAGAGACATCACAAGAAAATAAAACTACAGATTAATGAACCTTATGAACAGATACAAAACACTCAAAAAAATACCAGCAACCTGAATCCAGCAACATTTGTTTATATAACTATTCATACATATAATTTATATATACACTACAACCAAGAGGGATTTATCCTAGGAATGCAAAGCTGGTTTAACACTCAAGAGTCAATAGCAATATAGCACAATAGAATGAAGGGGGGAAACAACTACACGATCACCTCAATAGATGATTTAAAAAGCATGTGTTAAAATCCAAGATCTTTGTATAGGCAAAGCACTTGAAAACCTGCCCTATCATTACATCTTTCATCTTGTACCTTTCTTTCCTACAGCTACACTGATTTTTTACTGGTTTATGGACTACTTAATGCAAAAATGTCTGTGTGGCTTAAAGTAAGAATCACAGAAAACTAACAGTTGTAAACAGAACTTAAAATTGGTAGCTAGTGCAGTGTTCCTCAACTCTGGGTGGGGTACACTTCAGACCAACTGAATCAAGAATCTTCTAGGTTGGGGACACATATTTGTATTTTTAAAAAGTTCTATTGGTGACTATACTGCAGTAGTCAGAAGCAGTAAAAACTAGTATGTGTAACAGAAATAATAAAAACTTTCTGTGAGGCTGATAGTTTTCTTCATTTAGGATACTATGTTAATTCTCTATATGAAGAGTGGAGAGGGCAAAAAAAAAAAATCACTTACACTCCATAAACTCAGACATATGTCTCTCCAAATAAGTACGAGCTGATTGAGAACGGGCTCCAATGGACATAGCTCTGCAGTCGAAATAGTTAGCAGATGGACAGGTTTGGAAAATATGAGGGCCCATATCCTACAAATAGGGAAAAAAAAACACTTCATAATTCTTGACTTCGGTTGAGAAAATTGCTAGTCAGTTTTAAAAAATCATTAAAATATAACAATACTCTATAAACTTACATCATAACCAGCAATAAGCAGCCCAACACCATATGGTCTCCGGCCGTATCTCTGTGTTGGTATCTGGGTCTCTTAAATTAGTTAAAGATCCTGTTCTAACAAGGAATAAAGTACTATCTTTATTTTCAAATTAAACATTATTAACAAAGAGTTCTGGTTTCGTAATTGCTACATAATTACCACGGGAAAAAAATAAAGCAGAGCAAATTTCTTTGGCCTAGTATTAAAAAATGTTGAGCTATCCAGCAAACCCAAGAATTAGTGCTAGCAAAATAGTCTCCTCCCATGGAGAGAACCTCATTCATTTTGGATATAAGGGGTCAAGGATTTCTTGGGATGTCTAGAACCACCAACGAAAAACTAAATCTCCTCTAAAATGATGCTTGAATAGTTTTCCTGAAATTGAGCTTATCTATGTCTGGAAAATATCAATTGCTTAAGGGCTGATGAAAGAGCAGACCAATTCTTTATTCAGTACTCATTCTCCCATGGTAGAACTTCTCACAACTTTCCTAAATTTTAAACATTCTGTTATTGAAAAGTAACTAACCTTTTTTCACAATCTTACCTATGTTATATATTATCATACTCCTGTTAACTAAGATAAGGTTTAAGTATCAAATTCCTTTAAAGTTCATGTCCAAAATGATAATATAAAAAGGATACTGCTTCCAATTAGAGATACAAGACGAGATACAGGAAGAGGTCTGTCAAATACAAATCTGGAATCCAAACACTCCTGGCGCATAAAATTACTAAAAAGGAAGTAAGAAAAATTAGTAATTTCAAATCAGTTATTCAAATTCAAATAAAGTCATTTGATCTTTTTGTTTACTCAACAGACATTTACACGGATTATATAAGGAAACCAGAAAGACACGGAAGAATGCATTCTTGTATCAAACTCTGAGGTCATGAGGGGTTTAAAAAAAAAAAAAAACACTAAAATATTCCTTAGCTCTAGAATACCTTCGTCTTATAGCACTTTATAGAGAAGGCTGGGCAAGAAAAAAAGAGCACTCTCTTTTCTCTTATCCTTCCCACTGTCAAGATTGTTTGGAATTCTAGGTCTTGAGCCAGCAAAGTGGAACTACTTTGCTTTTTCTTGAAAGCTGACTAAAATTTCCCCAAGAGAGCAACTGTGAGAAATAGAATCCATACTAGGACACTGTTACACATTCTTACCAATGCTACTACTATTTTTAAGCAGCACTCTAGAGGAAATACTGGACACTAGACTGCAAGTCTCACTGTTAAACCTGACAAGATTCAAGCAAGTCTAACAATGGGAAAAAGGGGAATCACTATTAAAGCCAAGAGGATAAAAAACAGACATGCACCTTTCTGCACTGCTTTGCTCAGTTTATATATATGTCATATCTGACGATCAAGTGATTAACTGTAGGAGCCAAGCTGTTTGTTCAGTACTTCAATTTAAGTCCATTTTCCAAGGCTGTCTAAAATTGCATTGCCCCAATATGGCAGGTACTAACCACATGTGACTGCTGAGCATTTATATAATGGCTAGTCTGAATTGAGATATACTGTACGTGCAAAATACACGTGAAATTTCAAAGACTTAGTTTAAAAAATAATATAAAATATCTCAATAGTTTTTATATTGATTACATGTTGACACAGCAATAGTTTAGATAGATTAGGTTAAATAAAATGTTCGATAATGCAATATATTTTACATTTTCAAGAGCTGACAGAAAGCAATAATACTGTCACTATATTGCTGGTCTTAGAGCAAAGGCTCGCTGGATAACTTGAAAATCGTAAACATTAGCATTATTGTTTGCCCTCAGTGGTTATAGTCTTTCTTTCCTAACTACATCACAGACTAAAGAGATTAGTTTGGGCTTATTACCTTTCAGCTCCCAAAACACACACTCACATATTACCCGAAAGACACTGTGTTAAGTGTACTACATGCCAGGCTATTTAACAATTACCTTGAAAAAGAAAGAATTGGAAAAAAAAAGTGAGTGTAAGTAACTAGCCCAATCTTAGATACTAATCAGTAAAGGTGAGAACTAAACTCAATCCACGTGATTTCAAAGCCCTAGCTTCATTCACACAATGCCTCTCAACCAGAAGAAATACTCGGGACTCTCACAGAAACCTACCTGTTACTTTCCACTTTCTACCTTATATTATACATATACTAGTAGATTTTAAGTTTCTAGAAGACAAGATCTATGTCTGATTCACCTTGAATATCCTGTAGTATCCAGAATTGAGCTTTGCAAAAAATAAATGCCTAATAAGCACCAGAGTACTAAAGAAGGCAAGGGTAGCTTAGCTGATCCTTAGAAACCAGACGAAAGTTGTCAAGCTCTTCTTAGACATAACATAGTCTCAAGCAACATACACTGAATTAATAAGTATCACATTATTCAATGACTTCTCAAAAGTGTTCATGTGGTCAATCCTATTGGTTACTATTACAGGGATCAAGAAATGGAATACTTAGTAACTGAGCCCAAATCCACTAAGGTATTCACGATCTTAACTTTCACACTCTGGTAGACAACTTCCTAAAATATCTGGATCTTTTCTAGAAATGGAATCCATTATGAATCGAAAGGGACATTTCTTTTGTTTTTCATGATCATACTCACCATAGCAGTCTAGCATCAGCAGTAAGTCCCGCAATTGAGATACCAATATGATTGTCAACATGGAGAATTTTCTTTTGATGAGCTGCGAGCTCTGACTGTGCTCTCTAAATAAAGACATTATAAGACACAAAAACAAGTTTAGAATTTTATTATCTACACAGTAAAACTTACGTTCGATAGCTCTGTTTTCTACAGGAAGATATACGTAATTGCCTTACTAACCTTCAATGCAACCAACACTGCATGGGTTTTTGATTTCAGACCAACTGTAGCTGATCCTTGTTTGACAGCTTCCATTGCATATTCAATTTGATGAATCCTGCCCTAAGGAGAAAAAGCCATCACATCTTAGAATCATCTTACAAGTCTCTTTTATAACTTTAAAATTAATGTAGAGTTTTCAAATTTCAGGTGAACATAGTTAAATCTCAAATGATTTTTTTAGAACCAGGAAACTTACTCTAATGATAAATTTAGGTTCCAGGAATTTCTAAAAACGATTCTATTCCATTTTCTAACAGCCTATAATCTCAGGAGTTTGTAAGCATATTGCAGCCACCAAAAGCCAATCCACAGAAATAGTATAAAACATGGTTTTTACCTGAGGACTCCAAACAGTGACATCATTGTCATACTGGTTGCGAAACTGAAAGTAAAAGAAAAAAGACCTATTAACAAAAGAACATTACAAATCCCAACTCTTAACAAACTCTATCATTAAAAAAATGTTTTCCCGACTCTTTCACCATAAACACAATGCTGTTAATACAACTACATTTTAAGATTACAACTGTATGCATTTAGTTGCAAGCCAATTCTACATTCACCATGAACTCTAGATGGGACCTACCTTCCCAATTATCCACTGTCCATAACACTCCCTTTGGGTTCAGTCAAATACTAAAGTTCATATCTGTCAACTTTACTTCATTTCTTTGCTAAAGTTCTCTTATACCAAGCCCTAATAAATGGTCAAAAGCATTCCTTTCCTTTAAACTAGCTCAAATGTCTATGTCTTGAAGTCTTTTCCATCTTTTTTCCTCAAAGCCCCCCAACACATACTTCCACCAGTTCTTTGCCTGCACGTCCCTTTCTACCTAATATTATTATTTAGAGGCATGTGTGATTTATCTTTGAACCCTCACTGCACTTAAAAGTGCCTTGTACAGAAATTCATATTGAAAAACACAAAAATGTCCTCAGGAAGTCAGAGGTGGACACAAATAGCTACTGCGACTGAACCATTAAACGAGTCTACCAGAACAGTATTTGGGAGAATCATGGGGGTGAGAAGGTTGAGGGCTAGAATTGTAGACACAGGAAAGGAAGCCCTGAGACTATGTTGTAATCCTGATGACACCACTTCTCCTTTCAGCCTTGGTTTACTCATTTGTAAAACTAGGTGACTGGACAACGTGATTGAAAAGGGGCTTTTCTGATGAGCTCTAGGGGAGAGGGAAATGAGAAGGATCCACCAGGAAAACGGACGCCATACAGGAACCCAGAAACGGGCCAAGTCCGCACTGGTAACATATAGGGAGGCCTCCACGTCAAGTCCCTATTTTCTCCTCTCTCTGCCCCCACACAGAGCACGAGGGGCCACTCAGGACTGCTCGGAATCTACTTCACTGAAGGAACTTGAGGGGCGAACTCGGCTAGTTGACGGATGTAGGGTCCGAGGCCTGACAAAAAGCGAAACAAACCGCGGAGAAAGGCCGCACCGACTACCGACAGCCCCTCTCCAGGCCAGGCCGGAGATGCTGAATCACTGCCCGAACCCTCCCGTCCGCTAAGGTTTCCATGCTCCATGGCCCCGGGCTGCTTTAAGGATACGGGAGACGCCGCTCGCCATCCGCCAGTTAGCGGACCTCTGCCCCAACCCAGCCTGGGCTTGGAATCCAACGCACCATGGTTCCGGCGCCGGCCTTGCTGCCGCCTCCTCCAAAGCTGCGGATCAAGGAGCGCTGCCGAAACTACCTCTCGGCGCTCTACACAGACGTCTGCGGGATTTTGACGGCAGCGGCGCAGGGCAGAGCAGTCTATTTCAGAGATATCGATAGGCTTCCAACGCTTCCCCGCCCTCAGAACTCTCAGCGCGTCAAAGGTGGGCGGGGCCTCAGAAGAGGGTGGGACTGAGATTGGCGGGAAACCCTGATCCAGGAGTGCCTGCGGCAGCTAAGAACTGCGGGGCGGCCACTATCAAGTCACCTTTCTAATATCCTCAGTGATATTTCGTGTGTGTTGTAGATTCCCTCCAGTTTCTCACTGGCCCTCACGATACACCTGAAATCGCTTGGGACCACAGTTGCGACTCGGCATGATAGGGTGTGCGTTCAGTGTCCACAGAGATTTGGGGTGTTGTGTGACTGTGAAAGGAAAGAAAGACCAAAAATAATGGTCCGTTTCTGTGTGTCAGCCATACTCTTCCTCGAGTATCTTGTTTGTGTACATGCTTTTCTTTCTACTTG